ATGACTGCTTGTGTTCCAGTCTGTGGATGAGAGTTTTCCCACAGATGAACATGGAAATGTAATATTTGAGATAATGGATCTCCATGACACATAGGAGGTGAAAATCTGGGTCAGTGAGTACAAAGGAAGCAGGAGGAGGGAGTATCAGATCATACTTAGTATCCTTGATAAGGATTAATCTGCTGGGGTGTTGAGTGAGGAAGACACACTGCATGTAACAGAGAGAAACAGAAAGAAATAGGGGCAAGGAGGGCAGGCACATTATTCTGTTCATGTACAACAATTTCTCTGGCTACTTACAGAGGGCACAGGAATTCCTTTTCTTTGTATCACTGTCTTCCCTTATGCTCTTCATTTGTTTTCTCCTTGTTGGTCAGTCAGTGCCCATTAGCTTTATTATAATCTCTTAACAATGTTCCTTTTAACTGTGTTATCATGCTTTTATATTATTCTAGCCAATGGTAGAATATTTCTTCACAATAGTTCCCCCTAGGCCATGGAAAAGTTCAAGGATGCAGGATTGCCCAAGCCCATTGGGGTATCCAACATCAGCCTCAGGCAGTTGGATTTTCAAATAAAAGACAAAATTATTACGGCTTTCAATATTCATTTTACTCCAAGTTTTATTTTATCATAATCACATTGAAACATTCAGAACATTTGAAGGCATTAATGCAAAGCTTGCAGGCTTTTTCACACACACTCAAAATTGTTGGCAGCTTTTCATATGTCCAAAGTTAGTAGGCATTGTAAGTATGTCTTCATACATATGAGCAATATTTTGTAGAACTTCTTGATAGTATGTGGTAAACCTGCCTAAATAGCCCAGCACACCTAAGAAAGCATCTCCTGTGGTTAAATTTACTCTCCCACATGGTTTCAGTTTCATTATTGAATCAAACTGAGTTAATAATTATGAGTTAATAATAATGAGTTAATAATTAACAGATTAGCATTGATTTCAGAGGTCTTGAAAGTTTATTTATAGGAACATTTTCTGGGGGAAAGGAAATAGATGAAGGAGTGGTACCACAACAGGGTAAAATTTAATTAGTGGTGAACTTAGATACTTCACCACTAGCAATGGACTAGCAATAATAATGAATTTAGATACTTCACACTAACAATGGGCTAATAACGGAATAGTGGAAAATAACTAAGGTATCTCCATACTGTCTTCCACAGTGGCTGAACCACCAGCAGTGGTTTACATTACCACCAGCAGTGGATTAGTCTCCTTTCCTTTTCATTGGTATTAACAACTAAAACACTGCATTTACCTTGAAAAGGTTTGGTTGTAGAAGAGGCACTAGAAACAATTAGCTATGATTTTCTGAAAAATAATGATCTCGATGCAGAAGATGAAGTCTTAAAAGTAGATTTAAATCCAAAGAATGAACATTTAGTCAGAAATTTCACAAATGGGAGAGAATTTACAGCCAGCCCAAGGTCTTTACTCTTCTTCTGTGCTCTTAGGTTATAGAATCTAAGCAAAGAAATAAAGTGAGAGTAACAAGGATTATCTATTCCTCTACCTGTGAGATTTTTAAATCATGATAAAGCTAATCTGATAATGTATTTAAGACTAGTATTATATAAATACATACATATATTCAAAATTGATAGGCTATAATTGCTAATATTTTATTAGTATAGAGGAAAATGCAGAATGCAGCAGAGACATAATGCAGATAGAGAACCAAGCAACAAATAATTCCTACTATCTTTAAATATTTTAGTAACTATTCATTGTTATCACTTTATATTTTCAATAGTTATGAAATATAGAGCTACACAAATTATGCAAGAAATATGTGAACATTGAACTTTAGTTTATCCGTGACATTCTCTCCAGTTCCTAATCTGATGTATTATGCTGTGTCATGGGTTAATAATTAAAGGATTTAAAAAATCTTATCAAATGACTTGAAGTAACCTAAATGCTGTTGTAGTATTGAATAGTAACATGACGTGTCATTGTTCAAAAACTGACAAAACACATTTCTACTTTCTTTGAGTATTTCATGTAAGATAGCATTTTGCATTATGGAAAGATGCAGCTAAGTTAGAGGAATATGTTTAAATTTCTAATTCTACATGTTTTGTGTGTGTTTGGCAATGGCTGGGAAGAGTTCTCAGCCTGGAGGAGAGTAGGAAAAGCTTTTTCAGCCATTGTTTCCCCAGTACTCCCAGCAACAGGAGATTCACTGCATAGACCCAGGAGGCAAAGCAATACCCAAGGAAGACCAACAGTGCAGGCAATCACTTTAAGCAATGCTGGCTAAGAGCTTAGGCTATTATGTCTCCTTGGAGGATGTTAAATCACAGGAATTGGGATACTGAGGGGTTTGAGTCAGGAAGAGGGCTGAGGAGTCAACTATGAGGGAGGCAGAGGAAAAAGAATTTGAGCCCATCTTCTCTTAGGAATATAAGTAAGGTCTTCTTTTTTCAAGATTTATTTTATTTATTGGAAAGAAAGAGAGACAGGAAGAGACAGAGACAGACAGACACTCACACACGCACACATCACACACATACACACACACAGGTATCTTCCATCTGTTGGTCCACTCTCTAAACGGCCATACTTTCGGGGCTGGGCCAGGGCACAGTCAGGAGCCAGGAATTCTTCATTGCCTCCCATGTGGGTGCAGGGGCCCAAGCACTCAGGCCATTCTACCCTACTTTCCCAGAAATATTTGCAGGGAGCTGGATTGAAAGTAGAGCTTCTGGGATTCAACCAGCATTTCCATATAGGATCTGGCATAGTAGGCTGCAGCTTAACCTACTATGCCACAACTCCATCCCTCAACAGATTATTTATAACAATATCTGCAGATAAAAGGCCACTTTCCAAAAAAATTTTTGAGAGACAGAATTGAGGCTCAGACGTTCACTTTTATGTGTTTCCAGAGCTCCAAGGGTCACCTTAATGCTGACTGCAAGTTGTGTTGTGGGACCCACAGATCCTGTCCAAGGGAATGGCTATATACTGGAGAGTGACTTTGGCTTTATAACAGGAAATAAGCTGCCTTGAGTTACTGTGTGTAGTTTAGGCTCAGAATAAAGGACATTCTTGGGAGTTCCTATCAGATGTGCCCAGGTAGGGGCAGGGAGATCCAGCCAGAGTTCATGGGTGGAGCAAGTGTTCAGAGGGGTAGCTGACACAGGAGTCATGGAGTAACTCCAGCTACTATCAGTGGAGGCAGGGGATGTTGGAGCTGACTGGTGTGTTCTGAGTCCCTTCACCCACCCAGATGTAAGCACTAACTTGTCGCTCCCCCTCTTCACGGAGGAACGACACTAAACCCTGCCTAGGCTTCATATCCGAGTCAAGGCACCATTATGTCGCTCCCCCTCTTCGTGGAGGAACGACACTAAACCCTGCACTGTTCTTTTGTCTGCTCAGCCCTCCCCGGGTTTGCTGCTGGTTCTTCCTGGGTTGGCTACTGACCCTTCCACCTCCGTGGAAGGGCCGTTCCCCCTGCCACTTTCCCCACTTCCGCGGGGGAGCGGCACACCGCCAGCCGGCTCTCTCGGGGGCTGCACAGGTGTTCCTTCAGATAGATGTTCCTGGTGCATGTTGTCTCTCTCCTCCTTTATAGTCCTCTTCCACCAATCCCAACTCTGCTACCCACACGCCGAGTACGCTGCTCTCCTCCAATCAGGAGCAGGTCCTGCTGTTTATTGGTTGAACTGGAGGCAGCTGTGTAGAAGCTGTTTCCTCCTCTCCCAGCGCCATATTGTGGGAGAGCAGATGCATAGAATAAGTCTTAATTCCAGTAACTTAGTCTAGTCCGAGTTGCTCCCAGTTGCTCCCCACACTATATTGTGGGCACACTGCATTGTGCTCCTCCAGTTTTCTGTGAGATTCATCCCCAATGTGTAGTGAGCTCTGAGCATCTTAGGCAGGCTGGATGGGTGCACAGGAACAAAGCCACAATCTGCAGTTTTTCAAGTGACTGGGGAAGGAGGGGAGGCCATGGGGAAGAGTATGATCCCCAATTCTAATTATTTGCCATTCCTAGGAGCTGTGTTTCCAAGCTGCTCTGCTCCCCTCCTGTCACAGTGGCAAGCCATGTATGGTCCTGGGCTTTGTGATTGCTGGTGCCCTGTTGGAACCTTAGAGCTCAGTTTGCCCTGCGAGAATGCAGGCATGTGTTTGAGGGCTGGACTTAAAACCAGTGAGAACTGTGGAATTTTCCCACTTCAGGGCTGCTGGTCTGTATTGCTGGCAGGAGGTGAAACACCTCTTTGCTCTTTTTCCATTTAATATGGCATTCGCAGACAAAAAGAGGTGAGGTAATGCCTGTATCTGCTGGTGCCAGTGGCCAGGACGGTGTTTATGTCTTCTCTCTCTGCTGGATTGAGGAGTCTCTGTGCTGTTCTGTCAGTGCAATACTGGCTTCCTTACCTCTTGGTGGGGTGGGTTTGTGCGGAGACAATCACTGGAGCCTCTTACTCAGCAACCATTTTGCTGTGAACTCCTCAGCTTTAACTTGTGGTCTTTCATTGACAGCCTATGTTGGAAAAATTGCTTAGTAATCGTTTAGTTCTCTGTATGTGAGGGGTGTGTGTGTGTGTGTGTGTGTGTGTGTTTTCATGTGGTATAAGAAAGCTAATTGCTTCAAAAGATATGTGATTAGAAAGGATTTCATCAAGACAAAAATAAAACAAACAAAACAGTAGGTGGGTGGATGTTTGTAGTCTAAAGTCAGTAGTCGCTTGATCAATGTTTTGCAATACTTTACAGCATGTAAGAGATTATGAAGAGAAAATTTACTAAATGTAATGGTTTATTTGTCAGTGATAAAATGTTTAGTTTCATATAAATCGTTGACCTGGTTCCAAGTCTCTATTTAAACGTGGAATACTGCTTTAAATGTACTCCTCCCATATTTCATAGGCAGTTAAGTAGGCAGTGGGGCATTGACTTCCTGTTATTCCTCTGAAGGCAGAAGTAATAAGCAGAGTGTGCTTGGCCAGAGGAGTGAAAGGCCATGGATCCCAAGCATCAGCGTATGGCATTAAATGATGGTCACTTCATTCCTGTACTTGGTCTTGGCACCTATGCACCTGAAGAGGTAAGTCTAGCTGTTGTTCTGTGGTTGAGGGGACAAAAGAGAGTTGACTAGGACGGGTGAAGAATGACATGAATGTGAAGTCAGCCTGCTGCCGTGTGACTGCAGGACTCACTTGATTCTCCAATTCCCCAGGCTAGAGCTATTTTATACAGAAAATTGAACTTAGTCACAGTTTATTCTGTGTGACAGTCAGGTCCTGTGGTGCTCTGCTGATGAACAAGGATATTCATGCTGCTTCTTGTTTCCATTTACTTCTTGCTTTGGGTAAGGGAAGTAACCCCACTCTCAACAAGACTGCTCATTAGCTCACTTGCCTGTTATTTCTTTGCAGTTGGAGTGGATTCTTTGTTTTTTTTTTTTTTTCTGACATTCAAGAAATATTTCCTCCTTCCAAAAAGGATGATACAGAGAAATTTTTTTCATTATAAAGAAAGAAAATGCACAGAACATGGAAAGTGTTCATGCTGTTGTGCTGTGGGTTAACCTTGAGCATTATAGCATAATCACTAGACCTGAATCAAGTAGATATTCCATTATACTACTCCTACCTCTGACAGACTTGCCTCAAAGAAATATAGTATAGAGTTAGGGGAAAATGGGAATCCGATGAGATGAGAACAAGGCTAAATTATTCATTGTTGTTAACAAGTGTTGGACTTAAAGGAAAATAGTGTATGCGTGAGCCTATGAAATAAAACAAGTCACCGTGCACTTACTCCCCATGTAGGACCTCTTTTCTTAAGGAGTTCTACTATAAGAATAAACTGCAAATCGTGTCCTCAAATTGTACTCCATATGTTGTTGTGTGTGTGTTGGTGCAAACTCTTGAAATCTGTACTTAACACAGAGTTGGTCTTCTGTATATAAAAGCAAATTAAAAATGAACCATAATGAAGAAGGGGATGGGAGAGGGATGGGAGGTGGAAGGAGAGTCAGGTGGGAGGGTGGGTATGAGGGAAAGAACCACTATATTCCTAACATTGTACCTTAAACAATGCATTCATTTATAAAGCCAAGCACTGAAGGGTTGAGGATGGGTACTTCATTATATTCCTACAATGTATCTATGAACTACATTGAATCTGTTCTCTTTGTATTAATATTACATTAACTTAAAAATAAATTATAAGAAAAATGTGAACACTGTTGAGGCAATTTGGCATGTTATCATCTTCTGATTACATAGATGTATGGCATTGAACTGTTTACCAGTAACTTGAACTCCTATTGCATTTTTTTTGTAAGACTTAAGGAAATAACCGAAGTCCTTTTGGAAGACTCGTGCCAAGAAAAACTAACTTTTCTTTTTTTAGAAGTTTTGTTTATTTATTTTGAAAGTGAGAGAGACAGAGAGAGAAGAAAGAGAAAGAGAGAGAGACTTGCTTTCCATCCACTGGTTCACCCCCTAGATGGCCCAGTAGCCATCCAGATCTCCCACATAGGTGGCAGGGTCTCAAACCCTTAGGCCGTCTTCTTCTTTTCCTAGACCATTAGCAGGGACCTGGAATGGGAAGTGGTACCCATATGGGATGCTGGCATCAGAGGTAGTGGCTTTATCCACAGTGCCGGCCCATACTCATTTTTCAAAGTGAAGTAACGTGAAGGAGAGTAAAGGATCAAGGACACCAGATAAAGTCTTGGTCATGGTAAATGAGTGAGTGTCCTCACATCTATGAGAAGCAGAAGGCTGCTATCAGCAGAGGGTAGTACGATCTACTATCTGCTTCATTGTTATTTCATTGAATAAAGGAATCATCTCAAATTCTTCAAATAAATGGAAAAGTTTTTGTTCCATTTGTCTGTTTATCCTTTACCAAATACTTTCAAATCTTTACACAATTTTTAAAAGCTGATAATTTTAAATTTAACTATGTATATCTTTTTAAAAATAAAAGAGCTATTTTAAGAAGTGAAATGATGTTAATAATCATTTATATGATGCAATAAATTTCTTGTGTGAAAATACATACACAGGGGGCCAGTGCCATGGTGCAGCAGGTTAAAGCCCTGGCCTGAACTACCAGCATCCCATATGGGCGCCGGTTCTAGTCCTGGCTGCTCCTCTTCTAATCCAGCTCTCTACTATGGCCTGAGATAGCAGCGGATGATGCCTCAAGTCCTTGGGCCCCTGCAACGCTTGGGAGACCCAGAAGAAGCTCCTGGCTCCTGGATTCGGATTGGTGCAGCTCTGGCTGTTGCAGCCATTTGGGGAATGAACCATTGAATGAAAGATCTCTCTCTCTGTCTCTACCTCTCACAGTATCTCTGTTTTTCAAATAAATTAGAGAGAGAGAGAGAGAGAGAGAGAGAGAGAGAGAGAGAGAAGAAAATACAGACACAGTGGCCATCACTTTAGCATAACAGGTAAATCCACGACCTGCAGTGCTGGCATCCCATATGGGAGCTGGTTCAAGTACCGGCTGCTCCACTTCCAATCCAGCTCTCTTCTATGGCCTGAGAAAGCAGTGGAAGATGGCCAAAGTCTTTGGGCCCCTGCACCCATGTGAGATACCTGGAAGAAACTCCTGGCTCCTGGCTTCAGAATGGTGCAGCTCCAGCCGTTGCAGCCAACTCTCAAGTGAACCAGAGGATGGAAGATCCCTCTCTCTCTCTCTCTCTCTCTCTCTCTCTGCCTCTCCTCTCTCTCTGTGTAAGTCTGTCAAATAAATAAATATTTTTTTAAAAAATAAAAAATACATATACATTGTGTGTGTGCATGTGGCTAGCGTTTTTAGTTAGCCTATTTGGTGGGTGTGCTCAGACAGTGGAGCCAAAGGCAATGGATCTCAATCTTCAGCGTGTGGCGCTAAATGATGGTCACTTCATTCTTGTACTGGGATTTGGCACCTATGCACCTGCAGAGGTAAGCTGAGTTGCTTTGTGATTGAGGGGGCAAAGGAAAATAGACCTAGGAAGAGTAGGCAACCCACGTTGTGAAGTCACCCAGTCTATGTGACTGCAGATTTCGCTTGATTTTCCATTTCACAAGGCTGGAACTAACTTGTTCACAATTTGTTCAGCATGACATATCCTGTGGTCCCCTGCTGATGAACTGATTTTGCTTCTCGATAGGTCTATTTCTCACTTTAAGAAAGAAAAAAAAAAGTCCATGCTCAATAAGGTTGCATGTCAGTTTGCCCGCCGGGTATTTGTTTGCAGTTGAAGTGGTTTCTCAGCTTTTCTCTATAATTCAAGAAATGTTTCCTCCTTCCAATATGCAATGATTCAGAGGCTTTTTGTTGTTGTTGTTACTAGAGAGCAAATGTATAGAACGTGAAGAGAGAGTAGTGCTGTTCCATGGTTGGTTAACTTTGAGTACCATGCAATAATTACTGGATACAGCCAAAGTAGATTTTCTCATGTATTACTCTCACTTCTGGGAAACTTTCATGAAGGAGCCTACTTTCATGAAGGAGTTCCATGTTAAGAGAAAATGGGAACGTAGGAAGAGCAATGCTGAATTGTTGATTTTGTTAACAAGTTGGAGTTAAAGGAATATGGTATATGATTTCCTCAAATAAAAGTGAGCACCAGCTGGCGCCGCAGCTCAATAGGCTAATCCTCCACCTAGCAGGACCGGCAAACTGGGTTCTAGTCCCGGTCGGGGCGCCGGATTCTTTCCCGGTTGCCCGTCTTCCAGGCCAGCTCTCTGCTGTGGCCTGGGAAGCCAGTAGAGGATGGACCAAGTGCTTGGGCCCTGCACCCCATGGGAGACCAGGAGAAGCATTGGCTCCTGCCTTCGGATCAGCGCAGTGCGCCGGCCACAGTGCGCCAGTCGTGGTGGCCATTGGAGGTGAACCAACAGCAAAAGGAAGACCTTTCTCTCTCTCTCTCTCTCTCTCTCTCTCTCACTATCCATTCTGCCTGTCAAAAAAAAAAAAAATGAGCACCACAGAGGAAGTTTTGTATGAAGAGATTGTCCTCTGATTACATAATTGTATGACATGGGACTGTTTACCTCAAATTTAAACTTCTATTTTCTTGTCGTGTATGAATTAAGGAAATCACAGAAGAGCATTTCAAAGATATATGCCATAATTTAGTTACTTTCAGACTGATGTGGCATGAATGAAAAGGACACCAGACTAAGATTCAGCCCTGATAAAACTCTGAATATACTCAAATTTTAGGAAAGTAGAGGCCTGCTACCAGGCAAGGGCAGTGGGGTCTAGTATTTGGTTCATTGATTAAAGCCAGCCTCTCAAATTCTCCAAATAAATGGAAAACTGCTTGATTTACCTGTTTATGTTTTTAATTTTTTTCTTGACAGGCAGAGTTAGACAGTGAGAGTGAGAGACATAGAGAAAGGGCTTCCTTCCATTGCTTCACCTCCCTAATGGCTGCTACAGCCGGCGCACTGCACCAATCTGAAGCCAGGAGCCAGGTGCTTCCTCCTGGTCTCCATGCGGGTGCAGGGCCCAAGCACTTGGGCCATCCTCCACTGCCTTTCCGGGCCACAGCAGAGAGCTGGACTGGAAGAGGAGTAACAGGGACAGAATCCGGAGCCCCAACCGGGACTAGAACCCGGGGTGCCTGTGCCACAGGCGGAGGATTAGCCAATTGAGCCGTGGCACCGGACCTTACCTGTTTATAATTTAACAAACACTTTCAAATCTTTATCCAGTTTTGGAAAGCCAATAATTTAAAATTTTGCTCTATTTTTTATAGCTTGTCCAAAAGAATTGGCCCGTTTTTAAGGGATGGCAGTAATAATAATCCCTTACATAATGCAGTTAATTTCTCATGTGAAAATACATATTTCTTAAGTATCAATTTTAGTTTTGGGTGGCAGAGGGCATATAGAATGGCTCCGTAGAAAAAGATTAACATGCTATCTTGCTGTCCACTGAACTACATATCTACAATCTTGGCCATGAATGAACCAACATTCTTCTGTATTCCCTAACTTTTAGGATGTTGGTTGTAGCTAAACTGCATGTGCAAACTAGTTAGCTAGGTATCACTGCTTTTCACTGAGGGACTGGAACATAAGTGTGGCCTAGTAGAAGGGATATATGTAACCAAACCCGAGTGAAAAGCTCAGGAATGGAGACTGTAAATCAACATCTTCCTTTTCAGATGTTTTCTTTCAGATGTTGTCACTTATGTTAACTTTCCTTTGTGAACTCATGATATGAATAATAACCATGACACTAACTTTTTGTTGTGTCATTTGAATCCTTCCATTAAATCAATAAAACTGGCATAGTTCCTGAGAAATTTTGCCAGCAGTGATTAACATAGTTGCCTGGTGTGGGGAGGTTCCTCAGCTGTTTATTTTTTGCTGATAACTAAGGGAGATCCAGGCAAATTGTAATGTACTGATCCACTAAAAATGCACATTTATTCTAAGACATGAGAAAAAAAAAATTGATTATTGTGAAGATCACCGATGATGGCTGTACTAATTTCTAATCATTTGGTCTGTAGATAATACTTTTGACTGCTTCTCTAGGTTCCTAAGAGTAAGGCTGAGGAGGCCACCAAAATAGCTATAGATGCTGGATATCGCCATATTGATGCAGCTTACCTGTACCAAAATGAAGTGGAAGTAGGTTTGGCCATCAGAAGCAAGATTGCAGACGGTACTGTGAAGAGAGAAGACATATTCTACACTTCAAAGGTATAACGTGCTTGATGTGTTGGGGTGTAAATCAATAAAAAGTGATGTGTGCAAAGGATAATTACATAATTTTGTCAGGAGTTGTTGAGGAATTGTTCTTTTTGGCACATTTTAACCATGCATTGTATTTGTATTACTTTTCATATATTTTAATTTAAGATTTAACAGTTGATATTTTGCCTTATTTGCTTTCATATATAGATACATTAATGCACATATATACTACTTTTTCATGAAATTATCACAAAATGTGAAATTCATGACAATGACCCTAGAGTAAGGAAATAAAGGTATATTGTCCTGTGGATGGCAGTGAAGACAATGTTTTCACCATTTATGTACAAACATTTATGGCATTCACACATTTTTATGCTTTATCAATATATATTTACTTCTACAAATAAGAGAAAGATGTGGCATTTGTGGTTTTGTGTCTGGCCTATTGACTTAACATAATGATCTTCTGTTTCATCAATTTTGTCGAATATGTCAGGATTTCATTCTTTTTATTGTTTAAAATTTTATTTAAGGAATACAAATTTCATGCATTTAAAAACAAATTTTGGAACATGGTGATTCTCCCCCCGCCCCACCTCCTTCACAATCATACTTCCACCCTTTCGTCTTTCTCCCTCTCTTTTTCCCATTCTTATTTTTTACAAAGGTCAGTTTTAAGTTAATTTTACACTCATAAGATTAACTGTACACTAAGTAGAGAGTTCACTGTGTGGTAAGAAGCAAAAAGAACACAGACAGGGCTGGAGCCATGGGTTCACCTGGCTCACTAGGCTCACTAGGCTCACTAGGCGCCGGATTCTGTCCCAGTTGCTCCTCTTCCAGTCCAGCTCTCTGCTGTGGCCCGGAAAGGCAGTGGAGGATGGTCCACAAACTGGTGATTTGATAAAGGGACTGTAGCATATATAACACAGTGGAATACTAATCAACCATAAAACACGAAGTCTGGACATTTGCAATAAAATGAACGAAAGTGGAGATTATTATGCTAAGTGAGTTAGCAAACATGACAAGTTTGCTCTTATATGTGGCAGTTAGTATAAAGCATACAATTTATATGGCTGTTATCTCATTTGGTAATTATAAATACTGCTTCATTGAATCATGACATATAAAAAACAATGCACCTTTCTTTCATGATGCTATTATTATTGTCACAAATCTCTCATGTTGTGGTATTGATATCTCTGTTTTCAAGAAAAATCAAATTAAATATGAAAATTAAAAAATAAAATATACAAGATATGATTCTGATTTTCAAAATCTGTTGAAGGTTGTTTTATGTTCTCAAATAGTATCATCTATTGTAGAGAATGTTCTATGTGCTGTTAAAAATAATGTATATTCTGCAGCTGTGGGATGGAATGTTCTATAGATTTCTAATAGTTCTACCTAAAGAGTACAGAACAGCTCTGCCTTTTATTTGTTGATTTACTGTCTATTTCATCTGTCTATTGATGTATGTTGTGTGTTAATGATCCCCAGTACTATTGTTTTGGAGCTTATGTATTTCTCTATATGGATGAAACTGGATGTCCTAGCTATAGGTGCATATATATCTGCAATAGTCATATCTTCTTGGTGAACAGATCACTTGTTCATTCCACAATAGCCTTATTTGCTTTTTCTTTAGCAGTTTTTCCCCTTACAATCTATTTTGTCTGAAATAAGTATAGCTACTCTTACCCTATTTGATTTTTCCATCTATATCTTTCTCCATCCTCCCAATTTCAGTTTGTGTGTCCTTGGTGGTGAAGTGTGTACCTTGTATTCAGAATTTAGTGGAGCACTGTTTTCTTATCCATTCAGTCAGTCTGTATCTTTTAATGGGGAATTTTGTTAGCCATTCAAATTCAAGTTTATTATTGGCAAGTAATTACTTGATCTTGCCTGGTTTTTTTTTTTTTTTTTTTTTTTTTTGACAAACAGAGTGGACAGTGAGAGAGAGACAGAGAGAAAGAGAAAGGTCTTCCTTTTCCATTGGTTCACCCCCCAATGGCCACTACTGCCAGGGCGCTGCGGCCAGAGACCACACTGAACCGAATCCAGGAGCCAGGCGCTTCTCCAGGTCTCCCATGCAGGTGCAGGGCCCAAGCACTTGGGCCATCCTCCACTGCACTCCCGGGCCACAGCAGAGAGCTACACTGGAAGAGGAGGAACCAGGACAGAATCCTGTGCCCTAACTGGGACAAGAACCCAGGGTGCCAGCACTGCAGGCTGAGGATTAGCCTAGTGAGTTGCAGTGCAGGCCTGATCTTGCCTTTTTTGCATAAAAATTCAGTTTGTTTTGAATATGCATTGTTCTTTCACTAGTATATTTCTTAACTTCACTCTGTTTTATGATGCTGATTGTCTTTCTCTGTTCTATATTTAGTGCATTCTTAAGTATCACTTGTAATGCTTACTGGATAGTGATAAATACTTTTAATGACTTCTCCTCTTGGAGAAGACCCTCCTCTTGGAGGGTCATTATTCCATCTTTATTTAAGAATGAGTGCTTCTCTGGGTAAAGTATTGTGGGTTGGCAATTTTTCTTTTAGAACCTGGACTGTATCTCTTCATTCTCTACTGTCCTGTGGAGTTCCTGTTGAGTAATTTGTCAATCTTGTGAAATTTATTTCAAAAGCTAATACTGCTGTTCTCTTATCATTTTTAGAATCTTCTCTTTATGTTTTCTTTTTCAAAGTTTGACTAAAATGTGCCATGGTGAGACTGCTTTCTGGTCCTGCCTATTTGGGATTCTATGAAGTTTCTATATTTGGGTGTGCATACTTTTCTCTAAATAGGGAAGTTTCTGCCTATTATTTCATTGTCTAGATTCTGTTAGCAGTTCATTTTTGCCTTACTCCATGACTTTCCAAAACTCATGCCTCCAGTAGATTGATGGTATCCCAGTGATCTAAGACATTATTGTCATTAGTTTTAATTATTTTCTTTACTTTGTTTGGTCTGAGATATTTGAAAAGACCTGTCTTCGGGCCGGCGCCGCGGCTCACTAGGCTAATCCTCCGCCTAGCGGCGCCGGCACACCGGGTTCTAGTCCCGGTCGGGGCGCCGGATTCTGTCCCGGTTGCCCCTCTTCCAGGCCAGCCCTCTGCTGTGGCCCGGGAGTGCAGTGGAGGATGGCCCAGGTGCTTGGGCCCTGCACCCCATGGGAGACCAGGAAAAGCACCTGGCTCCTGGCTCCTGCCATCGGATCGGTGCGGTGCGCCGGCCGCAGCGCGCCGGCCGCGGCGGCCATTGGAGGGTGAACCAACGGCAAGGGAAGACCTTTCTCTCTGTCTCTCTCTCTCACTGTCCACTCTGCCTGTCAAAAAAAAAAAAAAAAAAAGAAAAGACCTGTCTTCTAGATCATTTGTCTTTCCTCTGTCTCTCATATCTTCTGTTAAAGTTTTCAGCTGAAATATCATTTGCTTTATTGAGGTCTTCATTTCTAATATTTTTGTTTGGTTCCTTTCCAATACTCTAGGTCTTTACTTTCTGAATTCTGTCAAATATAATCTAAACCATTGTCATTGTAATTACCTGATAAAGTCTGTATCTCTGGTGTAACATTCACCTTGGATTAGGATATTTTAAGTAACACCCAAAAATGACAGAGTTCTTACAGATAGGTCAGGACACAGGAAACCCGAAAAGAAGGCATCATGGTCCTTCCATGTTCATTACATTTTAACCAGAAAAAAAAAAAAAACACCTTAATATTAATTAAAGGAAATCAAGTATTTTAACTAATTTAACTAATTGTTGTACCACTTTTGCTGTTTAAACCCTGCAGCTTTGGTCAACTTTCCATCGACCAGAGATGGTCCGATCAAACTTGGAAAAGTCACTGAAAAACCTTCAACTGGACTATGTTGATCTCTATATTATTCATTTCCCAGTATCTATGAAGGTAGGGAGTTCATATCAAATTTATTTCATTGTAGTAGTCAAAATGGCTATCATTATCATGGATGAGTAAACAATACTGATAAATTTACAGAATGATAATTTACATAACTTATAGAAACTGCTCACGGTAGTTAAAGCTACATCGTTTATTGGATTAAGTAAATGAGAAGCTCAAGAAATGCTCATTTATGTTTGATAGCTTCGCTGCATCTTCTAGTATTAAACTTACTATTGAATAGAACCTTGATCCACGTCCTGTGGTACTAGTGCCTGCTGTTGGGTGAACACATTTTCAGGAAAATAAAGAGCGCTGATTGTTTCGCCTGGGTCAAGACCAGAATCCATAACCAGTGGAGATCAAGGTTAGGTAACAACTGATCTTCACAATGAAACGGATATTTCTTGGAAGTAAAAAACAGGAGAACACGAAGTAATATAAATCCACAGGGACCTATTATGCACTGGAAAAATACCAATTATTAATACACATAATAACAATTAGAGGGGGAGTGTATCCTAATGACATTATCCACTAGTCCATATGCAGTGCACATTACATATGTGGTGGAGCCAAAAATGTGCTCCACATAGTTTTTGGAAGTTTGTGTTCCAACACTAAATACAATGGATGTATTGCTGTTGTCTGGGTAGCTGAATATGGTGGTATATTGAAATAACTGCTCTTTTCTAGCCTGGGGAAGAGATTTTTCCAACTGATGAAAATGGAAAAGTCATGTTAGACATGGTGGATCTCTGTGCCACTTGGGAGGTGAGTACTTGGAGGAATGAGTACAGAGGAAGCAGGGAAAGGGAAAACTGGGTCACAATTAATCTTAAACGAATGAGATATTCATTCATGAATGTACAAAGGTTGATATACTGAAGCATGGGGTAGGAAGACAATACTGGGGAGAAACAGAAAGGAAAGGAGAAGTAGTGGAGTTGAAAGCAGGCTTCTTTTTCTGTGTATATACAATACTTCCTCTGGTTTCCTAAGAAGGACACAAAATTCTTTGTCTTGTTGTCAGTGTCTTCCCCTATGCCCTTTATTAGTTTTTCTCTTTGGTGTCTGTCACCCATTGCCCATTGCCTTCATTACAATCTCTTGATAATGTTCCTCTTAACTGTGTTAAAGGCCTTTGTATTATTCTACCCAGCTGTGAAAATATTTCTTCACTATCGTTCCTCCCAGGCCATGGAAAAGTGCAAGGATGAAGGATTGGCCAAGTCCATCGGGGTGTCCAACTTCAACCGCAGGCAATTGGAGATGATTCTGAACAAGCCAGGGCTCAAGTACAAGCCTGTCTGCAACCAGGTGACAACAAGCCTTCTCTCCTTCTGTTTTTCATTCCCTGCTCCCTGTGCTTCTGGTAGTTGTCCATCTGCTTGCCACTTCTGTCAACTTACTGTGTGAAAGACAAGATTCTGCAGGCTGAGCCTCTGTAAGCAAGGGAAGGAAGTGCCCTCAATTGTTTCTGTGCCTGTCCTTGTCTTAGTGAAATGGCAAGGAGATGTTAAGCTGAAATATGCATAAGAATGTGGAGCAGGTGTGAGAGTGGTAACAATGATCAAGAAAGGCAGCAGCCAATAATGAAACCTCAGTGGGAAGATTAATTCTTCCCAGATCAATGATCTGGAGGATGACCAGATGCATTGACTGCTGAAGATGATGTTGAAGGAACTCTATATAGGAAAGAAATCCATGAAGATATCTGATCGGTAGTAAATAAAGACAGAGTGAATGTCAAATAGGCGGTGAAGGTTTGTTTGGTGTTGAAAGACCTGAACCCTTCCAGTTGGTATCTTTTCTTTCAGGTTTTTTGAACAGAGACTTAGGTACAGGAAAAAAAAAAAATAACTGAAGATAATCTGGGGAAGAAGGTGGCAGTTAGGTGTTGATGGTGATAGTATTGTGGATTACATCAGTGCTCTGAAAATTTCAGCAATACTTAAGTGATCTTATCCCTGAGCACATTTTAGTCTGCATTGCCTTTCTTTTTTGCCACCAAATCAGCTGTTTAACCACATCTGTTCTGTGCCTAGTTTCATGTTCTAACTCTGTATCTAACAACTTACAATCACACATTAAAGACCTTTCACTGAAAAATCTGAATATAATTCATATAATGAAAAAGCACACTGATTCTCCAGAAAAAAATATTGTAAAATTAATGACTTTCAATAGTAATTTTACTCCAAAATTTTATTTTTCACAGATAGGGTTAGACAGTGAGTGAGAGACAGAGAAAAGTCTTCCTTCCATTGGTTCACCCCTCAAATGGCCACTATGGCCACAGCTACTCTGATCTGAAGCCAGGAGCCAGGTGCTTCCTCCTGGTCTCCCATGTGGGTGCAGGGGCCAAAGCACTTGCGCCATCCTCCACTGCTTTCCCGGGTCACAGCAGAGAGCTGGACTGGAAGAGGAGCAATTGGGACTAGAACCTGGCACCCATATGTGATGCCGGCACCGCAGGCGGAGGATTAACCAAGTGAGCCACGGCGCCAGACCGAACTCCAAAATTTTTATTTGAAATTTAAAACTTTCAGGATATTTGATAATGCAGATATTCCATATTTATCTCCCAAACCCAAAATTGAAGACATTTTTTCATGTGTCTAATGTTAATTGACATATAGCAAGATGTCTTAATACCGATGTACAACATTTTGCTGATCCTCTTGACACTATTTGCTGAAAAGGACTATTCATCCACACAGACCTCGGAAAATATCTCCTGGGATAGAAGACACCATACCACATAGTTATAGTTTCACAATTGGGTCTAAATTGGTTTCCAATTTCTTCTTCATATCATTTAACATTTTCCATATTGTAACTTTTCTTTGTTGTCCACAAATGTCTTTCTATAGTGCAGTAAAATTATAGTTCACAAATAGAATTTGTTAGGTTTGTCATGCTTGTTTTTTTCCTGAATGGTCAGCGATCTTTTCTTCCTGTAATATCTAGACAGATTTTTGCAGATGTTCTGTTTTTTTCTCAGATTGTTGCCTTATAGTAATATTTCTTTATTTTAACTTTCCATAAATGAGAAGTTAGATTTGAATGCTTTATTTTATTAAGATTTCTTATTTTTTGAAAAACATTTCATTGCAATTAACAGTAGTCAATTAGGTGATAATAGTCAACAAAGAATGAAATATTCCTTAACCACTTTTTACACAATGGATAAGTTGCCACTGATGACTTTTGTCTTAAGGGTGATGATTGCACTGCTGTTTGTAAATAATTAATTGCATTTAAAGTACACTTTTTGCTTTTGTTACTTGACATTTGCACCTTAAATCAGTATAAACCATAATAATTCCTGTAAGGTAGGAGTAGCATTAATACTTTCCCTTTAATTAGAAAGCAGTTAATGTTATAATCACTGTCACTAGGGGCAAATTTTTATATTCCCTCTTTCTCTCTTCCTTTTTTATATATTGATAACTATGGAATCATGGATTTTTATGTACTCTATGTGTTAGAATTATTTTTACTCATTATTCTTTGGATGCTGAAATCTATTCAAATGTAATCAATACAATTCCTACCATATTGATATGTTTCTCCATCGGAGATGCCCTAATGAGGCTTTTAAAAATGCTTGCTTTGTGGCATATTCAGTGCCAAAGATCAAAGAATGATAACCTTGTCCCAGAAGTGTTGATTGTCTGCTTAACACAGAAACGATTATTTAGCCACCCAAGAACTGAGCATGTAATTGCTTCTTTTTAGGAATTCATATTTTCATATTTCCACAAGACAAAATATTAACTAATTTGCTTTAGAAATTCTTACTTGGGGGCCAGCATTGTGCTGTAGGTTGAGCCTAAGTTTGTGACACCTGAATCTCATGTTAGAGTTATATTCCCAGGGGCTCCATTTCCAATCCAGCTTCCTGCTAATGTGTCTGGAAATGTACTAGATGACTGTAGAACATGAGCCTTTTCCCCACATATAGGTTCTAGGCTCCAGGCTTCAGCTTGGCCCAGTCCTGAATGTTGTGATCGCTGTTGTGAGTGAAATAGCAGTTGGAAGGCCTCAACTTCAATCTCTCTCTCTGTCTCTCTCTCTCTCTCGCTCTTTCCCTTTCTACTAATATAGATTAATATTTAAAACAAAATTAAAAAATTTTTATGGATTGATATTTCCAGTCTAAATTTCATGTTACATTGTTAAGTTCAACTACATTTACTTTTAAAATTTCCCTTAAAATTAATAATAACTTTTTATATAGTCATATTTTTCAATCTGTGTATCCACAGGTGGAATGTCATCCCTATCTCAACCAGAGAAAACTGCTGGAATTCTGCAAGTCAAAAGACATTGTTCTGGTTGCCTACAGTGCTCTGGGATCACATAGAGACCCTAAATGGTAAGAGAAAAACAGGCAAGTTTATTTAAAATATCATTGTTGATGAAATATTACTAGTTTTGCAGAGCTACCTATCAACTGGCTCAGGGGGGTGGCAGAATTTGCATTTCAAGCAGGGTCATATGATATTATTTTGGTGACCCAAGAACCGCTTTTGAGCAACACTTGTTCAGAATGGGTCTGCTAATCTGTTTTTGGACGCCTCTGACAGTCTGAAAACTTAGCCTCAGAAGTTAGCTTTTCTACCTCTCCTTCCAGGGTGGACCAGAGTGCTCCAGTTCTCTTGGAAGATCCAGTCATTTGTGACTTGGCAAAAAAGCACAAGCGAACTCCAGCCCAGATTGCCCTCCGCTACCAGCTGCAGCGTGGGGTTGTGGTCCTGGCCAAGAGTTTCACTGAGAAGCGGATCAAAGAGAACATGCAGGTGATGGACATGTGGGGCCGTAGGCACCATGGATCCTACACAGTATCTTTCACTGTGTGCTTCTTAGCAAGATGTCAAGACATCTTTAGGCCAAGTCTATTTCTCTGGTTTTGATGATGCATTTGAGATTTGTATATATTTGTGACACATCAGGGCTAAGTAGAATTAATGGTGAAACAGAAAGCAGAGAATAGTGTTGCAGCATTAAAGACAGTATACTCTGCAGTCAATCACAAAGAGGCATCTTGTTTTCCTTTTCTGAAATTAGGGCATCAGACTATGTAATTTTTGGTTTTTAAATTATGATCGTTTTATTTTTAATTTCTCAGAATTCATATAGTTTAATACCTATATATTTTTAGTTAGGTTTTCCTGTCTTGTAAAGCAGGTATTCAAGTCTTTGTTTAAAAAATCATGTTTCCGTTTTAATTAAGAGACTCTTATTATACCATGTGTAAAGCAAACACCTTCCACATAGGAGATTATGTGAAAGTATTATTTTTATCTGAGAATTGGGAAACCATTATTCTGGTGAGATCTAGCTACCATTCAGTAGGCCTACCCATAATGAAGTTATGGGGTAATAGGCAATGGATCCAAAGGGTATGGAGCCTACCCAAATGAAATATCGGGAGATATTTCTTTGATCCCTCTATCATGTTCATAGTTGTGTATTCTGGGCTTTACTTTTGTATGAGATGCAGTTGTTAAAATGTGTTCTTGGGTCTTACATTGTGGTGAAGCAAGGTAAGCCCCTGCCTGCAATTCCAGCACCCCATAGGAGAGCTGATTTGAGTCCCAGTTGCTTCACTTTCAATCCTGCTCCTTGGTAAAGTGCCTGGGAAAGAAGTGTAGGTTATAGTTTTTCTTCTCTTCATGGTGTATTTTCATGATCAAAAATTCCTACTTTTGTGTAGTTAAATCTTTATTTGTCTGTGACTGACGTGTCATATGTTTTCCTATAGGGAGAACAAAATAATATTCCACTACACTATCTACAAAATTGTCATCATTTTTCTTTCTAAATTATCCTCTTAATTCAACTAGTATTTATTAAATACTGTTTGAAATACATATAAGAATCCACTGACCTGATGTGTATTTTTAAAAATAATATCAAGGAAAGGAATTTGGGACTTTGCTTGGATTGCCCATTGCCCATATTCAAATGCTTGGATTTGAGCCACAGTCCTGCATGTATAGTATTCCACAATGTACATAAATACCACAATTTTTTTTTGAATGTATTTTTTTAACTTTTATTTAATGAATATAAATTTCCAAATTACAGCTTATGGATTACAATGGCTTCCCCCCCATATCGTCTCTCCCACCCGCATCCCTCCCCCTTCCCACTCCCTCTCCCATTCCATTCACATGAGGATTCATTTTCGATTCTCTTTATATACAGAAGATCAGTTTAGCATACATTAAGTAAAGATTTCAACAGTTTGCTCCCACACAAACATAAAGTGAAAAATAATAATGATTTTTTAAATGATGATGAAATCAGATCAGACCTATTGTCATGTTTAATCCCAGTGAGAGTC